CAGAATGGATCTAGGGGAGTGGCAGGAGAATAGAATAATATCTTCCCCGCTTACCTTGAAATGGATTTCGGTGAGACTGAATGAGAACCATGTAGTAAAACAATGAAAAAGACATAGTGTTGCAGAAACTTCGTGTATGATTATTAGTAGTACTCTAGCAAGGCTCATGATAGTACTTAATTTTCACCCATTTCCCAGCATGAGAACTCCAGGTATTGTTTCCTCTCTTACCACCACTTTGCCTCCTACCTCTCTCCCCTGAGAGAAGGCAAGGAGTTGGCATTGATCTAAGTAGAGAGGTGGGAGGAAGAAAAACATTCAGCTCTTTGTTTCAATTACAAATCTTTTCAAAGTCCCTTAACTGTAATGTTTCTCATATTTTAAAAGAGTTCAGTTCTTACTAGCCAAAAAAGAAACCTTGACCCTAAGACCATGGCTTTTCAAACATTCTTGATCATAATCCTTTAAAAAAATACATTTTATACCACAATCCAGTGCACACACACGCGTTATGAAACAATACTTAAAACAAGCTTATACCTATTATATGCAATGCACTCAGATATCTTCTCTCGTATTTTGATATTTAAAAAAGTGTTAAGTTACAATCTCCTAATTGATTTCATTACTTGCTAGTAAGTCACAACCTGCAGTTTAAAAACACCCTAAGAAACAGAAAGGTTCACAGAAAATTTCAAAAATACGGCTCACAAATCCCTTCACAACCTTTCTTTTCTTTTGCATTTTAAGACATTGCAAAATAGAAGGAAGTCCAGCCTGTTTCCTGGGAAACAAAATATCCCTGTGTGCACAGTTGACATGGTGTGTTGTCTGACAATAAATTAGAGGTTTCTACATGGGGTTTCTTGTGTGCTTGGTTGCTGCAGCCAACTAGGCATGTTGACAAGTCAAATTTCAAAAAACAGGACTTTCTCTTAAGCAGGGCATTGGTGCTCTGTAGAAAATAGGATCATATGTCTCTAACGTCTTTTCAATAAGAACATTCAACAAGCAACTTCCATCAGGTAAAGGGCCCACCACACATCATAACCCAGAAGTGAGCAAGCATTCTGCCTCGGGGCTACTGAAATGGGAACACGATGACTAGATGCCTTTCCAATCATGCGCAGATTTAAAATTTACACCACTATCATCACTACCACCACATCCCTCCACAAGGAAAGAATCTGCTCCCCATCCAGCTCCATATGCTTTTATGTTCAACCAAAATCTTAAAGCTGGAAAGAAAAACAAGGGACATCTGGTCTACCTCGCTCCTTCCAAAGAGGATGGCCAGCTAAATATTTCCAGGACAGAGCTAAACTATTTCCCTGTGGACCACAACACACATCTGTGCCCCCCCCCGCCCCCCCATGGCCTTCCTTGTGGTATGGCAAAAGTTTTAGATGTTTCTAACATTGTACTTTTGATTATACTACTTCTCCTACTTAGAACATACAAACGCTATAGCCCCTGTCCATCCCTTCTTCTCTCTCTGAAATGAGAAAAGCTCACTGAATTTATGCAACTTTTTACTTCTTAGATGCTGTTTAATAGATAGTTAATGTATATTTATTTATTGGCTTTCTAATATTTATAAGGTGTGTTTATAAGAAACTTAAAGTTTAAATTAACCTTTCCTACAAAATATGTATCAAGGAGTAAATAGAAAGCTTTAGCAGTTTATCATGAAGATATTTAAAGCAGATAATCATTATAGAAATAAATATTAAGCTATTTGTTTCCATATACTCAGAACCAGTGACAACAATGACAGATGTCAGAACTGTTGATTTTTCTAATATTCTATCATATGGGAGACACTTGTCTTAGGCAACTGAATTTTTGCATGCATCAGAGCAACTGAGGGGCTTCCTCCCTAAGAAGATACTGTTGTAGATGCTCTCATAGAGACCCTGTGCGTTGACACACAATCCACAGAACTCTGTGTTGGCTTTGGTTACTTTTTATAATAGGACCATTGAATTTTATAACCTTGAAAGGACTTAAAGATTATCTATTTCACCTCAGATGAGGAACTTTAACCAAGAAAAGATGAGCTAATGTGCTTCAGATCACCCTTGCAGAAAATGACAGAGTTGGGGCTAAAACCCAAACCTTCTGTTATCCAAAGAAATCAGGAGCTAGAAGTCTAGAAACCTCATCCCACCTAGCTCTTCAGTTTCATTTCCCCCATGCCCAAACTTCCCGTCTTCCGCCAGACACCTCTGTCTCACCACTGAAGAACTTCCCCAAGTCCTCAACACCAAACTGTCTCCCTGTCATTAACCAATTCCCCATTGTTGTTGCATCTCAGTGCCACGACTTCTCCTATCGGACTTGGCAACTTCACTATTTATTCCAGTTTTTCTCTTATCCAATACCACACTTGCCGAAACCACACAGCTCCTTTAGTTTAAACCCTCCTTTACTCGAAACTGAAGCTCATGACCATGATTATCTCACATAGAGTCCTATTCTCTCCACCTAGGATTACAGAAACCTTTTCTATCTCATATTGTATATGATATACAATATGCTAAAAGGAAAAAAGTTTTCTCCTTAATTGGGCAGATAATTTCTCAAAACAATCAGCCAAGCAAATGATTATGTTTGCAAGTCAAGCAGGGAAAGCAGCAGAGTTCGCTGACACTACCAATAAATATCAAACTTTACGCTTTACTGAAAATATCCTCTCGGGCTCAAGAGTGGAAAAATTGATTAGTGTGACTCCTCCTTTTCTTAGCCTTAGCTATATTCTTGTCAAGGCTCTCAAAGAAGAACGAGGTGGTCAAAGAAGAAGACAGGACAAAGAGGACACCAGTAAAAAGTCCAAACAAATCAAAACTAGCTCCAGAGTGTGGTGCTAAACATGTGGACCCCAAAGGCCCATGGGTCAGTCTTGGCTGTACCAGGAACAGCTGAGTGACTTTGGGCATAGTGCTTAAACTGTCTGCTCAGTTTCTTCATCTGGCAGATAGGGTAATAGTAGTACCTACCTCACAGGGTTGCCATGACAACTAAATAAGTGAATACATATAAGATTCTTAGGACAATGCTTGACATAAATACTTATTACCTAAGATAAATCCTGAGTTTGAAATGATTTTGACAATCATGCTGTGAGTCTGCTGACCTCCAAATCTTACTAGCAGTTTCAGAATCTGGCAGCAATTT